GATGACATAGAAGAGCTTGTGGGAGCCATCCTCCCGGTCGAGGAAGGTGAGGAAGTCGCTGTAGAGCAGCCGGCCCTCCGTGTCAGCCACCAGCACCCGGTCCCCAGGGCTCAGGTCCTTCACCAGTTTGGTGCCACCTTGCTCCAGGTGCACCGTGGCCGAGCCAGGGAAGCAGCCCCCTGATTTGGCCGCCACCGAGTTTTCTGTGCAAGGAGAGAAGCACAGTGGGGTTAGAGGGGGCACCTGCTGGGCCGGGGCGTGGGGGCACGAGGGGACAAGCCGCTTCCCTGGCCACCCTGACCCACCCAAGAGGCACGGGTGCAAGGATGCAGCCTCACTCCACACCGAAGTTCCTCCATCCTCATCTACAGACGTGCTCATTCGCACTCAAGCGAGAGTCCCCTTCCGGCCAGATCGGAGCCGGTGCATCTCCCTCTGGGTTAAAAGCTACAGGGGTGGTTTTTCTCGTTAAGGAAATGGGCCAAAATATTGCTGCTGAGAAAGCTGTTCCAGAAGAAATCTCTTCTGAAGGAGCTTCCCACGTGGCTACTCTTTGCCCTGCGCCAACACCTGATGCCAGGTAATTTGCAGGCTTTCTAAGCCAAGTGGTTCTGCTGGCAGAAGTTTTCTCCTCCTCTAGGCAAGTGGCTGTGCTCACAATGCTCAAGGTCCCCACGCAGCTCTTACTCAAGGAGCCCATCTAAGGCAGCAGAGAGCAGAAGGAGGCTTTTCCCCGAGGAGCACGTGAGTTTACTCGTCAGCCCACTGGAAAGAAACTGGATTGCCCGAGCCGCTCTCCATCGGCCTGTGCATGACCCCGTGCTGTCCCCAGCCCTCACTGATGTCCCGCTCGGTGCGGCGGCTGCTGGGGTACGTGCTACCCCCTGCAACACCCCTGCCTGGCACCCCCAGCACTTCAGTTCACTCCTCTGTCAAAAAAAAAGCATCTCCCTTGCCTCTCCCACCCCACTGGAAGGAGGATGTTGGTCCCTGTCCCAGGCTGTGGGCTTCCCAGGCAGCCTGTGCCAGACCCAAGCACAACCCTCCTTCACCTCCTCCAGCTCTTGGAGTTACTCAGCGTTTAGACACTAAGTGTTGTCACCAACCACTGCTGCTTCCCAGCGCTACCGAGAGGAACAGTCGCAGGTTTAAAGAAAGCAGAAATAGCAATGATGAAGTTTTAAGACTCTTTTGCAAATCGCTTTCTGGAAGCTCAGCCACATGTGGGGCGGTGGGAGAGGACCTCTGCTCCGTCCCAGGCTGGTCTCTGACTTCACTGCGGGGCTGTGCAGTGTTCCCAAAAGCTGTGATTTTCTATACATTGAGCGTAGCCAACAGTACACCACGGTAGCAGGTGTCTTTGCTACAGCTGTTGACATTCCTCATCCCTCGCTTGCCTTTCCCTGGTTTCTCCCAGTTAGTCCCTGTGCCAGTTTAGAGTCCTGGTGATTTATTTCCTAAAGGTGGCCAGATTTTATATTTTGCCTCTGTGGCTGGTAGAGAAGCTCTTATGATTTAAATAAATCCTTGGAGTGTCTCCTAATGACTTTCTCAGGAAGGACAGGAAGGGTGAAAATTAGACTGTTATTGATTTGCTAACGACTTTATCACTTCTCCTTCAGATTTGAAGCAGCGAGATCTCCAAGGCCTCTTCAGGGAGGACATGGCAACAAACAAGCTATGTGCTTTATGTGGAGCCCTCTGCTAGCAAACTACACCTTCCTACAAGCCGGCGGTAAAGGTCTGGCTAGAGCTTTGTTTGCATATTCAGGGACTTGATGAATAGATCTAGTAGTGTAGCAGCTCTACAAACATGCCAGTGAATTGGCAGAGGTGTGAAAATCTGCTTCTTTGAGCAGTGCTTGTTTGGGTTCTCTAATTAAAATCCAATAAAGGATCAGCATTGTCATTCTGATTCATGTAATAAATGCAGACACTCTTGGAAGAGAGGACACTTCCATTTTTTTCCCAGCTTCTTCTCCCCCTTTTCTCCCCCTCCCTATTTGTTCAGGTGCAGAAACCCTATGTGCCAATTCACACACATACTCTCCAAAAAAACCAGGACCTTCCAAGCACTATTTGCACAGCAGAGCCACTTTTCCAAGGCACTCAAGATCTGTATTTGAATTTTAAATGTAGAAGCTTGCTCTAAATACTTGCCGTGGCACATTATCAACATCCCTTTTACCACCCCTGCCTCTCCCTCCTCTCTCCTGGTGACAATAATTCAGGCCTTGGGGGAACTCTTCTTTGCATTCCAGTCTCCGGGATCATACTTTTTGCAAACAGAGATCTAGATAAAGAATCTTCCTGCCTGGCATTACGGGGTTTAATCTTCTCATAAGATGTTCTGTCATGAAATGAGGTTTGGACAGTTTGAAATCAGGCTGAGCGGGTGGAATTCAAGCCTGCTCCCTTGCAGCAAGCGTGGTACAGTCACACGACCCTGCCTGACACCCTCTAAATATTGCCCCCAAGTCCATGTGTGCTGAATCTCAATGAGCAGCTTGGGGTTACTCCTCTCCTACCAAACACCCGTGGGGGTGGATTAGGGGGTGCACTCGGGCTCAGGCCATTCCACTCCACAATCGGACACCTTGCTCTCTAAAGCCCATCTTTGCTATTGAAAGGGCTGTTTCGTGTCACCGCACAGCTGATAGCTTTGCAGGGCCTCCTTGGGGCTCAAAAGGAACAGGGAGACGAACAAAAGCGGTAGCAGGCTCCCGCGACAAAGCCCACACGGGCCAGGAGAGGTTCTCTGTCGGCTCAGCCCCTGGGGAGCTGTGGGATGGAGCTGGGGGGGGCTGAGCCCCTCTCGCAGGCAGGCATGGCCAGGCCACGCCGGTGTCCTTGCAGTGGGGCTGCTGGTTTTGAAGCAAACGGCTATATTTAAAGAAAGCTCATTATTTTCTTTTGCAACCAAGTGTTTCTTGACACTTGTAGCGGGCTGCTGGGCTAGAGGATGCTGTCAAAAAGCGGCGTAGCTGCCGAAGCACTTCTTATACTTCTGTAGACAGAACATTAACTTCCAGTAAGCCACAAGCTCTTTTAAGGAATGAGAAACTGGACATCCAGAAGGAAGTTGCCCAAAATGACTATTGACATTTTATACCTAAAAATATAATATTGCCATTTTGTAATGCACTAGAAATTAAACTGAGCTGTGCATTTGGCTCATTTATGTGAATCTGGCAGTACAGATCTGAGGTATGATTAAGTCTCCCAGAAAATGGGACTATTGAACACAAGCTGCATCTTCAGCCAAAGGTCGCCTGTGTCCATTAAGAAGCAGGAAGCATCTGTGTGTGTTATGCATGGTTGTAGTCTGCCTGCAGTCTCCTTCTTTTTTGTAAGTATAAATGCCAGAGAGGACATATAAAATGCTTTCGGAGAAAGTTTAAGGGAAAAAAAAAATCTCAACTTGGTATATTCATATAAGCTTAGTTAAGATCCTTGTTTGTGATAACCTGGTACAGCTTGTCTGCAAAAATTCAGTCTGCAGTGGTGGTCATCAGAGCTACTTTGAATTCATAGTAGGATAATTCAAATCAGAGTTTGGCTAAGAGTATGATTTTAAGGTATCGGGTTGATATCTCTTAAGTCTTCCAAGGATTCATGCTCTTTGTTCTTGGAATTATGAAAGGATTGGCTGTAGACAGACAGCATGACAGTCCGAATTCTCGACTATGTGATTGGTAGTTCATCTGTGTGGTTTTCCACTTGTATGCTAAAATAGTTCATTTGACAAAAAAGATATTTATTATTACATGAATGATAAACAGACTATTTGCAGTTCTGCCTGATGGAAAAGCAACACGCTGAAACGCACAAGTGGTTTCAGAAAATAAAACAAGCTCCCAAAAGAGGGGCAGCATTTAATCCACCAGAGACAGTTTGGCAGTTGGCTTTAGCGTAGAGAGAATTAATAGTACCTTACTAATGGCAGTGTAATATTAGGATATTTTAATATTAGTGTCAAGCAGTGCTATTGTAGATCTTTTTCATCAGGTAGAAAATACTCTCAAGAATATATGCATCGCTAATTAAAATCAGTGCTGGGAGTGAGAGGGTCTTGTGGGGTTTGTAGGTTCTCTTGCCATAAAGCTTCTTGCATAATCTCTGTAGAGATCTTGCAGTCGCACTAGTCAAGGTAAAAACAAGATGAGGAAAACTGTAGAACTCGCAGGCAGTGTGTGGGAGAAGAATATCGCATGAAGTCATGATTTTTCTTCAGTTTGAAGATGGCACTGGAGGAGATGATAGGCTATTCAAGTGGCAAGGCAGAAAAAGAGAACAGGGTCTAGTACGGGAGGAAACAGGAGCCTGTTACTGAGAAGAAACGCTTCTTGGTTGCTTCTCCTCCTTTCTTCCGTGCACCTCCTAAAAACATTTCATTGTGGTTTCCCTGCCACATTCTTCCCTTTCGCTGCCCTCACCCCCATTTGCAGATGATGACAGGCTCTGTGGCCCCTCATGCTTGGGCTCTTGCACCTAAACCTTCATCTCCTCTTCCTGACTGAGATGCACTTCAGGTCGGCTGAGCTTTACAGGAGAGACTGGCTGTTTATCTGAGTGGAGAATTGGAGGTGCTTAGGTTGTGAGACTGCAGGCGTCTTGATAAGTCATAAAACACCAACTTTACTTGCCAGTTGATGCTTACTTTGTGAATTATTGGTGATAGTCCCCGTCACTCTCAGCAGGATGTGCTGCAAGAATCTCTTGAGCCCTTTGTTTAGACAGGATGCTGTAGGGATGGATGCACTGTGTCATCTCTGGGGTGGGTAGAGGAGATGCACTTGTTTTACATCTTCAACTCGTGTTGCCATCAAAACAAAATTAAAACAACGAGAGGTATAAAGAGAAATGGTTCCTTTGTGTTTGGTGTTTAAAACTGGTGACTGGCATTGGACTGGCAGTGGTGATCCTTACCCAGGCTTGGACCCTACTTCACACTTCTGTCTTTTTTACTGAAACTGTCAATCCCTCTGAAATGGAGGCAGCAGCACTTCCAGACATCTCAGGGAGTGCAGGGAGGGTAAAACTCTAGATATTGAGTGTGTTCAGCATACGTTTATTCAATCATAAACATATGTAAGCAAATGTTCTTGCTAAGTTGTATAATTTAGAGTGGTAATATGGCTTATAAAATCTCTTCAGCAGAAATAACTATATTAGAAATATTTTTTCATACACAGTCAAGCAT